AATATGACATACAGTGGGGTCATGATAGTTTGAAGTTAGAGGTCACCTGCCGGTTAATAGACCCTATTTACCGTATGAGTATACGTTGCCTAGGGTGTACCACGTGGAGGTAAGTCTATCACACATTGCGCAAAGGCGGAATCCGCGAGCGATGTAAAGCTAGCAGCGTGGGTACGTTCCAGCGAACGGAACTAAATTCTCCAAATCTTTAGTACCGACTTCTTGAAGCCTAAAAAAATATTATTCAAATTATTGCAAATAAAATAACAGTGGAGAAATGCTAACTCCATTTGGTATAATGAACTTTGTGCATAATCACACAGATTAGTCATATAGAGTCAACCATTCCAATCATTTATTTATTTATTTATATCAAATGGCAGGCGTCTTGATGGTTATCATTAGCCCTTTAGTTGACTTCAGTCTTCACATAGGGGAAGGAACATCAAAGTGGGAAAAAAAGTCGAGAGGGGGGGGAGGGAACAGAAGAGTGCTTCAAAGACGAAGGTAGAAAAAGGTGAGGTTAGTACTGTGGAAGTAGTCGAATATGACATAAAATGGGGTGAGGGTAGTTTGAAGTGAGAAGTCAACTGCCAGTTAATAGACTTTTTTGCCGTATGAATATACGTTGCCCAGGGTGCACCACGTGGAGGTAAGTCTATCATTATGTCAATCATTATGTCTGCTCAAACGCTCATTGAACCTTTTTTCCACCTTATCTACCTTCGTCTTTGATACACTCTTCTGTTCCCCCCACCCTATTGAATTTTTTACACTTTGATGTTCCTTCCCCTCTGTGATGCCTGAAGTCAACTAAAGGGCTAATGATAAAAATCAAAACGCCTGCCATTTGATATAATAACATTTTGTCGGCAGTTGTTCACAGATCTTGACTAGAGTGGCTTTGGGGGTTAACCCACTTCCAATAGTGTGGCCTTGAGTCTGGGTTAACATCTGTCCATAAAATGTTCCTTCACCCCCCCCCCCCCCCCCCCCCCCCCCCCCCCCCCACCCTACCTTAGCTGCCATCGCCTTGGGAGTTGCCATATATGGGTAACTGGTGCGTCAATATGGTGAATCATAGGAGGAGGATGCAGATGGTCGCTCTGTCCTTGTGATTTTATCACCACCGTCTTGGAAAACTGACTGGGCTTTACTAGCTAATATTAAGGCCGCGCTTTGAGGAGATTGCGGCGTTTTAGAATGCGTTAGGTTTCCAAACGATCGACTTATTTTGTGTTTCAGAAACTCGTTTTTTTCGGAAATGAATTTGGTGCTAAACTTTGTTGGTCTGAACTATTTATTTATTTATTTCAAATGGCAGGCATCCAGGCTGATGATAACTATCAAAACGTTTGCCATTTAACATAAATAAATACATTGATCTAGTGTGTATTGATTATAGAAACCTAAAGAAACAGCAGATTTTTATGGGCACCACGTCAAAATAATTTTGTATCTTTCCATGTCAACAATTACCTTCATAGAATTATGTAATACTCTTTACCTCTGCAATGTCAATCTCGAGAATGTGACGTTTAGGCGTGATTGACATGCTTGATCCATTTCCGAGCATATCGGGTTTCAGAGATATTAAAATTTGCGCTACAACGTACATCGATAACATGATTCCCACTGTTAAATCGCTCCACGGAGCTTTATCAAATATATCCAGTTAACTGATTCCTTACTCTGTGATAAAACACAACATTTTACCATCTTATTAAGCCATTTACAATCAATTTTGAGGTAAAATACATCTCAGGCGAATTACTAGTCTCTGGTTCATATTTTGGAAGTGAAGTAGTGTATTGTACTTTGCAGCTCTAAAATGTCCTGTCGTTTGTTCACTGGAATTGTGCTGATGTGAATCGGGCCTATGTCTGACAACTTCCAAGACGTGTACATTGATTGATTCGTCACTGACACACTGAGAGCATAATTGTGGTTATTGATTGAATTCTAAAGAAAATGCTCAAAGTAGTGCTTCATCAATTCCGAACCGAACATAAATATGGGTAGGAGTATGAAAATCTTTTATTGCTTTCACCTATTTCAGAAGTCAATTTTTATTTTCTGCGACACAATATTTAGAACGATTCAGTGTCCCATAGTGAGTTTACATGAACTTCTCTCCACTACCGTTTTGATTATATCTGTCTACAGCTTGCTCCATTTACCGGACGTCGTATGTCGGTCCTAGAGAAATGCGTTTAGATGAGTCAGAGGCGAAATAGCGTGCGTCATGTCGATACGCGCGTCCTCATTCTATTCCACAGGCTAGTCTTGCCTCCCGGTCATCCGATTTTGAACTAAGCAGGAAATCGTATTTATCACCAAACAATCGGAAAAACTTGAGCATTTCTTAGCAGGAGCTGGGTTTGAAAAAGAAATAGCAAAGAGTGGTGCTTAGATTGACCAGTAAAAATCACGTTTTTATACATTTTATTACCACGTGATTTACAAGCCAGTTTCAACTCGTTTGAACGCTTTTAACTATGGTGGATTGTTTACTTTTGGAGTGCGTGCGACAGAGAACGCAAAAGTACAAAAAAATGTTAATTGTAAATTCCTGAATGAACATGACTTTGCTATTTACTCTGTCTCCTTGTCCATTTTCAGCAAAACATTGACATTATGGCTAAAATAAAGAAGATCTGTTCTTTTGAACCGATAAGGTCCCAATTTTGATTGCTACACCCAAAAGAGATTACCTCTCTGTTCAATAACCGAAATTATTTGTGAAATTATGCCAAAGGAGCTTTATACAACCAAGTCAGAATCAAACCTCTACTTTTTTCTTAAGGCTTAATTTTAAACAATTTCCGAAACTTTATTAGCGCAGCCGAAATCGTCAATATTCGATGTCCCATCGATAATTCATACAGAAACCAAACCCCTGGACCATGTTAGCACTAGCTTTCGACGAAATAGAAGATACTTAACTTCGATTTAGGCCGCTTTGATGTTCCTCCTTCTCTTTGTGAAGCCCGAAGTCAGAAAAGGGCTAATGATAACTATCAAAACGGCTCCATTTTTTTAATAAATAAATAAATGGTGAACACAAAGTGACTATAGGCGTGTTCATTACTGTGTCGGGAAACAAACTGAATGCTTGCAAAATGCGCTCTCTCCTAATTGTAGAAAATGTAGATTAAAGAATAGGGTCAATTCAATCACCGAACTGTGTCCAACGCAGCAATCGTCCTCAATAAAATCAACTACGTTTTTAAGATGTAATTAAACCCATTAAACTAACTTATTGATTAAAGCTGGGAATGCCCAAAATGGGCTAAGCTGTCTATGATTGGCAAATACACGCATTCACGTACGCACACAAACAGAAGGCGCGATATTTACATTTTTAAAATGGCAGCTGATGATTGGATAAGGCTAAAAATTTAAGAATATAGATTTGATCAGCCAATAGCAATAAAAATCCCTTATCAGATAGGGTATATAGAGGAAGGAATTTCGTCATCCTCATCGTTGGCATATCGTTGTTCTTGGAATGGCTCGTACTAAGCAGACTGCTCGTAAAAGCACAGGTGGCAAGGCCCCTCGTAAACAGTTAGCTACCAAGGCTGCTCGCAAGAGTGCTCCCGCTACCGGTGGTGTTAAGAAGCCCCATCGCTACAGGCCTGGGACTGTGGCTCTCCGGGAAATCCGTCGTTATCAGAAGAGCACTGAGCTTCTGATCCGCAAGATGCCTTTCCAGCGTCTTGTGCGCGAGATCGCTCAGGACTTCAAGACCGACCTCCGCTTCCAAAGCACTGCTGTCTCGGCACTTCAGGAGGCTTCTGAAGCTTATCTTGTTGGTCTTTTTGAAGATACCAACCTTTGCGCTATCCATGCTAAGCGTGTGACAATTATGCCAAAGGATATTCAGCTTGCTCGCCGCATCCGTGGTGAGAGAGCTTAAACGCGCATTTTCTGTAGACAATAGCTATAACGCTTAAGGTCTTTTAAAACGATGCCACGGCCCTCTTTAGGGCCAAATCAGATGCGGTTGTTGTAGTGGTGGCCCCTAGGATAGGTCGTGGTTTATGAAGTTATTTGGGTGGTCTAATCTATTTTTTTTGGTTCACTTCTGATGTTTCGTTGACATGCGTGAAACCTTGTTAACCAGGACCATATTACAGTATGTTATAAGAATGATTGTAACAGCTAAGATGCTCTCGGGCTGATTTCGGGCTTCACAGAAAGGAGGATGAGCACCAATAGCAAAAACTCGGGAGGGGGACAGAATGCTGATGTAAATGAGGCAGAGAAATGGTAAATTGAGTACTGTGAAAGGGGTCGAATACTACGCAGTGGTGTCATCGTAGTTTGCCGTATGGATATACGTCTCTGAATATAAGCGGAAGTGGCAATCAAATTTGAAGAAGACTATTCAGTCTGAAAATATAGAGAAAACTCCTTTTAGTCACCTAACATGGAATTTAAAAGATCTTAAGGGGGATCAGCTTTCATCAAAAGTGCAAACAATGAGGAAACTAGCCCACTCAACTGCTTGTGTTGCTATTTACCATAGAGTCAACGAGTGAATAGACTATATAGTCTCGCACGCGTTTACCTTCCAAGCAATTCCGTATTGGTCTGATTTAAGGCATCTCATTGATTATGCGCAGTTATTTTGAATGACTCATCTTAGGTGAATACCTAAACGAGTTAATTATATTATTTGGTTGCCCCTGAGAACAACTGCATTAATGCTATCATCTAAGTCGTTCAAACAAATTCTCCTAAAGTATTTGTTAGTAAAATGTCAGTCAATGCGCCACTAACAGAATTTCCGATTTGTTTTTGACATTCCACAAATTATTCCTCGTTATGGAAGGAATTAATGGAAATGCAACTTAAGAGTGCTTTTACCATTCGCCATGAGAAATCTGGAGAGAATATTTAACAAATAAAACTTAGTTTAACCTTAACAAACCTCTGACAAAAGTCATTTGTATTAAATTATTCTCGAAGTTGTCTTGGCTTCACTTCAAGTTATGAGAATACAATACAATTTTCTGCTTAGCTTTGAGAGCATTCAATTTTAATTGAAAACACCACGCGCTAGTCAGATCGAATTAGACTAAGGTAGTCTACGGAATTTGCCACTTTTAATTTGAATAATTTCAATACCTGGAATCTAGTGTGATCGACTAGATTGGGTATTTCGTGTAAAAAATTCATAGAATTATTTTTCAATTATATCCGTTCGAATGCAGTCACCTGTTCAAATTTTTTGGAACAATACATTTATATCACCAAAACTTGACTTCGATAAAATAAAGCTTTTCAATAAAAAAACCTGAAAACGTAAATATGAACTTTGTTGGAACAATTTATTAATAATTGCTATAAGCTCCCTTAATCTATAAAAGTTAAAATAAAGTCTGAAATGGGTTCAAACGCAAAAATGATCAAGGTCATTTCAAATTTCAGGTTAATTTAAATACCGTTTATGCGTTTACAGGCAGATAAATGAAAAATCGAATGTAGACCTAGATCGTGCTTTTGGCTGAACCAGGTCAAATAGGGAATAGAATAAGGAGATATATGGCCTGAAATTGAGGGAGAAGTGAAGAGAGCTTTGAAATTCATGATCCCTGGTTTAGGTTTATTTTCTCTAGTTCTCATGGTCAAACATTTGAGACATAGGAAATTAGAACCCATTTTGTGTTGATACTACTGGTCAAACGTCGTTACTTTTGACATGGTAACCAGTTCATCAATTCGAACTCGAATTCGGGTTGAAATCATGAGGAAAATGCTTGATAAATTCATCGAATTAATTCGCATTATAGGGATATGTTTTCATGGTGTGGAATTCGCAAGAAAACAAGACTATGATGACGTCATTGTTTTTCAATAGCCAAAGGCCGACGCAAACATTTTGTAAATTTGTGGTTTCTGATTTGTTACTCGCATATTCTGGCGGTCACAGTGGAGGAGACACGCTTTGATAGTGATTGATTGAAATGGCTTCTAAAATTGCGAATATTGGATGTATCTTTTAGCGTCTTATGGTTCACCATAATTTCGTTGAAAACGATTAATTCGGTTTATCAGATTAAATTACAATACATGTCCTTGCTTGATTTAGAAACAGATTAGCTACTTAAAATATTATTTTTTTATGGCAAATGACAGGCGTTTTGATAGTTATCATTAGCTCTTTAGTTGACTTCAGGCTTCACAGATGGGAAGGAACATCAAAGTGAAAAAGGTCGAGATGAGGGGGGTGACAGAAGAGTGTTTCAAAGATGTATAAGAGGCAGACACAAAGTTGGAAAAAAGGTGAGGTGAGTACGGTTGGAGTAGTCGAATTTGACATACAGTGGGGTGATGATAGTTTGGAGTCTGAAGTCAACTGCCGATTTATAGACTTTTTTGCCGTATGAATATACTTTGCCCAGGCTGCACCACTTAGAGGTAAGTCTATCGCACACCCCCTGCTTAAAACATATAAGTAGAGATGTGAAATAAATTACATTGGTAATGAATGGTGAGGAAAGAAATTGTACACTATTGGTTTAATGAACTTCGTTTCACGAGACCACATAAAGGCTAGAGCTAATTTCAATTTGCAAGGAAATTGGTGGGGAAAGTTAAGGAGCACTTTACTGCCAAATATATTATTCCAGATATTTGGCTATTGCAGTATAGACAGTAGGAAATGTTTTATAATTGTCTTTCATTCAATCAGACAAAACGAATTTGTCCTTGGTATGGAGTAGTGTTGTAATGGTATGTTGTCAATAGGGCGAATACGATTGTCAGCTATTATTTCAGTTCAACTGAGAATTGAGAACGCATTTCTGTATTTTTCAGTACACAATTTCGATATTCCCGAAAATTGGTTATTTTAATGAAAATTAATTGATTGAAGTACATTTTATTTGAACACAAAATGAAAACATTCCATTTTCCTGACCTCAGTCGGCTACTGCCTAGATTTCTCTCCACCTCACTGATTGTTTTCGTCACAATCAAAAATGTGATTAGTAAAATACAGTTGTCCTTATCGAAATATGCTGTTCATAGAGTGAACTTAAACCCTCATCACTTTGACGCCGTCAGTTTTAAATGTGCATTCACTTAAAGGCCATGCTACTCTGTTTACTTCTCTATAATTCTAATGTGCGAAATTGCCTTGCACATCATTTTCTCTCTCTAATTAGTATTGAAGATCTCTCTTGGGGAAAGGCTGTTGGAAATTGATTCCACACTGTAATTTGAAACTACCACGAGCAAGACATCGATGGAGGAGGAGTCTTATTTAATTTCCTCGTGCTCTCTTCAAACCCCCAAGCTTACTACCTTCTTAGTACTGTACCCTAAAAATGTGCCTTCTTTGTCAACGACAGGTATTCGTGCTGAACCAACTTTTCCAACTAGACTACGCACATTTCAGGAGAGTATTGTGTTGATTGACAAAAAAATTGGTGCAATATTGCATACGAATGGTTGATAGTAAGTACATTGTGCTTATTCACAAGCACAAAAGGGAAGCTGTAAGTGTGTCAATCCCACAGTAATGAGAGTATCTTTCTTTGATAATAAGTTGAGACTGAGTATAATGGAAAGTTGCCATTACTTATGGTGGTGAGATAGGCAGTGACCAAGGATACCGATGACAATCCTGAAACACATTGTCATAAGGTACATACTACAGGACTTCATGGAACGCTCGGACTACCTCTTTATGGCTCTGAATTGTGGCCTGTAGGAGAGCTTGATCTATTTCACACTCCCTGTACGCGCTTTTAACCTCAGCATGGAGTAGAAATCCCACAACTTTAACTTGGTTCTTGAATAGTAAATAAATGAATTAAGTTAGTTATTGCTAGTTATTGCTATTGGTTGTCAATGAATTGTAAATACCCTGATTGCGGCCACAATAAGTGGGGTTATAGAAGAACTACTGCATGGAGATTCGATAGAAAAATATACCCTACTGTGCCATTAGAGGAGGTTCATGGAAACAGGTACTCAACGTCAATGAAACAGTCAAGTTGGGGAAAATTCAGAGAACTAAAGACAGGATACATTAGATCTCGCCATTTCTATTCGACCTGATTCAAATGGTGAGTGGCGAAATTAGATAATAGAAAATTGGACTTCATTTAAAAAACCTGGGATCCTGACCATGTCTGATCACAGGGCAGTTATCTCTTTATTTCAATATCTGAAACAAGAATTCGTAGCATTTTTCTTATTAGCATTAGTGGAGATGAGGATAACTTCTGTTAGGGTAGAACTTTTCACTCTTTCGCCACAAGACGTTTTGTGACATTGAGATAAGCAAGTCCAGGCGCACATTCAATAGGAAAACGCGAAAATCTGAGCCATACGTTCACTAATCATGGCAACTACTTCAACCGGAGGTAAATGGGAAGAGAAGTAGAGATATAAAGTGAGCACATTGATAGTCGAGATGATATCGAATATGGATAATTGGAAATAGAAAAGGATTGATTTCATTGCATTCTCATTGTTTAGGAAGGCGGAAACCTCCTAAATAAGTGAGAATACTATATCTTCACGTGCTCGTTGAGGTGCACGTGGAGACACAAAGAGCAAGAAGTGGATGAAAATGCGCGAACAAACGGAGCACGATGATTGGTTGGATGATGATTAGGTTAATATTTGGTAGAACGAAATGCCCTGCACTGATTGGTCGCACACAAGTAGATGAGTGAATACATGCTCCTATTGGCGTGTGCCTGTGCTTGTGTGCGTGTGTGTGTGCGTGATGTGAGAATAAAGGAGAAGTACTTTCTATGGCATAGATGTCTGACTTCGTTGTGACACAAGTGGTGATGGTGACTGCAACCTCAAGGCCTCTCGACACACTGTATAGCAGCATGTAGAGCAGGACTAATACGCACCCAAGGCCCTCTTCAGGGCCATCTCATTGATTAC